TCAAATTCCTTCACGGATGTATTGCTTTCTTCTGTTATCACTACTTTCCCCTGTAGACACCTTCTTTTGAAAAGTGCAATATTCACTATTCCTACAAAGTCAAACTGAAAGTATTTCGTATTGTTAATCCTCCATACAAACAGACGAGCATTATAAACGTGCTGCTTTCATCTCACTAGAGTGATGTAAGATAAAAACTCAGCACTCGCCTGAAACCAGAGATTTCAGGTCACTCTTGAACATACCAAATCTTTCTCGCTCTGGGAGTACAGCTGTGCTAGATGCTTCAGTCCAGCCACCTGGACTCAAACTAAATCTTAAAGGGAGAGCAACTTTTTTCTCCTCCTCCCTCTGTCTCCAACAGCTATGTAAAATTTTAAAAAGCAACAACAACAAAACAACTCTCAAAAGTACTGGCTCTTGAGAATAAAGTCGTTTTGGCAGTTGCAGATCAAGACAACCACTATAAAAGGGATGCTCTATACTCATTTTATACTTTGGGAAGTAACCCTCCAGAAACTTTACCAGAAACTTTACCGTAATGGAAGTGTTTCGTCCACACTAATGCCAGACTGATCAGTTTCCTTTCTTGAGTGGGGAACGAGAATTATCTGGGAAACGCAATGGTTCTTTTTTTTCCTTCAGTGTCAGTGAGTCATAAACAGGTATAAGGCTGAGGATCAGAAGGCCTGTACCATATTCTCATTTCTTCTAACTGCCTGTAGTCTACGTCAAATGCACTATATTAGCTTCATGTACATTAAAGAAAGTATCACATAACCTCCCCAAATGAAGGAAATAACAGATTGCAATTCATTGATGAGGTACTTTAAGCACAGGTTTAATTTAACCTGTAGAGATGCATAAGGAGGCTCCCCAAGAGCTGATAAACATGTTTTGCCCACTGGACTATACTGAAATTTCTTCGTGCTTCTGTGGGAAATTAAATTTCTTATGTAGCAGGGATACCAAGACTTCATCAAGTGCTTCATGACCTGTCAGTGGAAAAAAAGGTTTTATGGATGCCAATTTTTAATTTGATCTATCTTACAGAATAACTGCAGGACTGAAAGTATTCCATTAACATACCCATATTTGGGTTTTAAACTATTACAAAAATATTAGAGCATCGTGGAAAGCTGTAAATTGTGACATTAACTTGATTGTACTTCCTTGTGGGGCTCCATTAGAATAATAAACTAGTTAGTGTGAGTGCAGATGCTATGTGAAATATTTTCTGCAGGTCTGTCTACGTGGTATGCCAGCCCAAACTGGTCCATGATAGTCTTATGTATTATGTGTTGTTCAATTTTCATGAATTAACCAACATAGAGTACTGGAGGGATTACACTACTATAAAGTACAGTTATGATAACTCATGCAGAATTAGTGTCTAGAAGGTTGTTCAGGACCACTTAATTCATGCAGGATTTAAGGCATTTTTAGTATATAATAATGTGGATTTCAGATTAATATCCTGAAATGTCCTCAGGTTGACATATATTTCTGATTTAACAATGTCACTAAAAGTAATATGGATCAATAATTATGTGAATAATTCTCAGCACTTATTCTATTTCTTTGCTTCTGAAAATCTATCTGTAGTTGCCAGTACTATCACTGACATAATGTGGAGGAGAACTTGTTCTTATATAAGTAGTATTACAAGAATTCAGATCTGTATTCGTAAGGTTATTTTTTTTTCGTCAAAAATGATATTTGGAGATTGGTTGCATGACGAAACATGTCAAACAGGAAATAAAGTGGATAACTATGTCTGATTTATCCTACCTAAGCTAGATAAATGGGAAATGCAGAAATAAACAGGTTCAGAGCTGATAAATGCAAATTCATGTGCAATGGCAGGGGAAAAGAAATTGTTTAAAAGGCACTAGGTTGACTTGGTTTATATTTTTGGATTTGAAGAAATTGTGAAGAAGTGTAAACCAGTATTTATATAAAAGATGATAAACTCAGATTTGAATTTCTGTGCTTCAAGAAGATAACTTGTGCATTTCTATTTTCAGACTTGAAGCAAGATGCATAATAAATCATATTTACAGTATGCATGTGTACATTATATTTTCACCTTTACTTTTAATAAATTTAATTTTAATTGTCAGGTAAATATCATTAAAAAAGTATAGCCTGCAGTTATGTTCAATTTCTCTGAGTACATTCTTTTCTTGCTGCTGTTTTAAGTGTAAATAGTCAATAAATGTTAAAGGAGATTTGTATCATGACTTTAGTGAAGGCTTCCTGTCAATAAGTACAAACTGCCTTATTTAAGTACTTGGAGCTTTTGTGCTCCTTTGACGTGCAGCCAACAACTGAATTCCAAGGGACTTCACCCTGGCCCTTCTGTCCTCTTTGAGTGCTGCATATGGCTAATATAACATTAAGTTGAAGTTAAGTCATAGGATACTACCAGAACAGTGCATTCGGTCGTGTATCTGACAGAAATTCAGCAAGGGAGACAGATTTTTTGCATCTATATAATGAATCAAACCTGATGGGGACAGAAACAAGGTTCTGGGGGAATGGATTTTCATTTATTGCACTGCTATCTTTGGTGTACTTAAAAGCACATTACAGTAAAAATGCAAAAACATTGTTTGTGGGCTAGGACCTCCTGATTCTTGTGTCAACCAGATGTTTGCTGGCCCTGTCTGTTTAGACTGAGCGTGTCAGTTTGGCACGTGTGGAGGAGAGGAAATGGTTGACATCAGTGAAAATGTTGCCTATAGTGGTCTGCTCACTATCTCTTCCATCTGAGGCTGCTTACCCTTTTAGAAAAGCTAATGTGATCCTATGGCTTGTTCTGAGAGACTGATCTGGAAAAGGCCCAAGCTGTGTGAGGAGGAGTCCTTTTCTGCCTCCTAAGCCAGCGGAAGACTACAGGCTCTGTAGACCATGACCCTTAGATCATGGCCCCTAGATATTCCCTTGTCCCTCGCATTCATACAGGATGCTCTCACTGATGGATGATTTACAGTACAGAGGGTGTTGCAAGCAGAGGAAGAGTGGTGACTAAGTTCACTGTCTCACAGGAAGTCCACAACCCTACATAGTGCTTTGTGGAGGGACAGCATGATCATTTCCTCTGTTGGGCCAAGGCATGCAAAGATGTGACTGGAGCTGCTTCTGATGGTACATGCCAGACTAGTTGGATGTCACCAGATTTCAGTGTGTCTTCGCCTACTTCCTGGGAGAAGATTGGTTATGCTGTACCTATATTTGCTAGAGATGTAGGTACACCATTATATCCAACCTTCTGGGACACTTTCACCCTTAGAGACATCCCTTCCATTGTAAGAGCCTCAGGAGCAGAGGAGGATATTTTCTAACAGCCAGGCAGTACAGAAAAGCAGTTCACTGAAATTAAATTCAGGAAGATTGAGCTGTACTGGAAGGTAAGGCATAGGTTACTGCATGATTCCTGGGAAGTGCTAATGTTCAGATGAACAAAGAGATTAGAGGGTAGCAAGGAGGTGACTCAGGCTAGATACACAGGGCAAGTTATGCTGCAAACAGCTTGTACAGAAAGATTAAGATCTGAAAAGTGAATGAGGTAGGAAAGAACTGAACTTAGAAGCTACTGAAGTCTTAACAGTCCTAGTCTAGAACCTGGAGCAGCTGGACAAACAGACTGACAAGGGGTCAGGGAAGAATGGCACTGGCCAAGAATCTAAGACTTACCTTGCTTACCTTCTCCATGGTGCTCAGTTTTATGTGATTCCTGTTGTGTCAGCTCAATGGTTGCTGCCTGACAAGTCCTGGTCTATTTTGTGATTTTATTTGTGAAAGAAGTTCCATGCCTTTGATCGTTCCTTCTGCTCTTGTTTATGCCCTTTCTGAGATGGGGCTAAGCAACATGGTATATTCAATATATGGGTGAACTATGGATTTGTATAATGACATAATGTTTTCTGCTATGTTCCTGACTCTTTTCCTAAGTCTTTTCCTAAGCATTCATAATATTCTGCTTGTTTTTTTGGCTGTTGCTGGTCCTTAAGTTGGTATTTTCACAGAACCACCTACAGTAATTTCAGAATACCTCTCTGACATGGTAATACCCAGAGTCCATCACTGCACATATAAAGTTAGGACTCGTGTGTGCCACTTCACACCTGTAAAATCTTGAGTTTCATTTGCTATGCTATCACACAGTATAATATTTTCCTGCGTCTGTGTCTGGCTTTTGTTTTTACTACATCAAAAACCGGGTATCACAAGGAAATCTCATCTCACTCTTTTTGGGGCAGGACAAGCAGGGAATATGAATAAGATTTGTGTTTGTTGACTCCTGAAAACAGATCTTAGATCAATTCTTTAGTATTATTTCTAACAATTTTCTGGTAATGTCAGATTCACAGGTTTGCACAAACATCTGTTTGCACTGTAGATGCTGTCATAAGAATTCATTTAGCATTCTGCTTTGTTCTTGACACAGGACTCACAGACTGAGACTAATGGTTTCGTTAGGAATATTTGGAGCCCCATGCTGTTCACGGCTCAGCAATAAGTAGAGAATTGCTACTGTTGTGTTATATTCTGACCACTTGCCCTATGAAACTGGGGGGACAGGTGTTTTATTCATATGTTGAATACAATAAAACTTTGAAATGTTGTAACTAAAAATATAGGGTGAGATTCAATAGAGGTCCTTAGAAACTGTGTGAGAAGTCATATTGCTTATATGTGGACTTACATGTATTTGTAACTGGAAAAATAATACGTTGAAAAAGACCTCACAAAAATCAAACCACATAATCCCATGTGAACCAACGACTGATTTTCATTTCATGTGCTTAAATTTTGTGTGTGTGTGTGTTTGTATTTTTTTTTTTTTTTGGCGTGGTCAATTAAAAGAAATCCCAACAAATTATTAGCATCTTTTGTTACCACTCAGTTTGTAGTTCTTCCCTTTTTCTTCCTTTTCCCCCCATCCAAGCATAATCCACACCTCCTTGAAACAACTTGCCTTGATCCTTTCTTAGGTTCTGACAGAGGTGGAAAAACCCAAATGACGCTATGAATTCCCCATCCTCTAAATACCAGGTGCCTCCTGAAGGGCTGCTGTGCAGCAGATAGCTGCCCTCGCATCCAGGGAGAAGGCAGCTGCTGACTACTGGCATGTGTGCGTCCCAGGAGCGGTGCCAAAGCGGGTCTCCTTACCACAGAAGCAGCCTCAGAGGCACTAGGTGGCTGCACAGCACGGCGCGGCTGGCAGGCAGGATGAGGTGGTTCGCCTCAGAAAGCATCTGGGGAGCTGGTGGTCCAACCACTGATTATGAGGTGCGCGTGGGAGTGAGTAGCCACTGAGTAAGTGCTACTAATGTGTGGTTTTGGTACGGCTCCATTGTGTTGGCTTACTTTCCAAAGCCAGTTCTTTAAATTCATTAAGCTGTTTGAATATAATTTCTTTTATTTGTACAATGATGCTGCCTTCTCTGAGTGAAACAATGATATAATTAATGTATATCATTAAGATTATATACATATAATGATATAATTAATGTATATCATTAATACTTAGAATTTTCTCTTCATGTATTTTTTATTTCCAGTCACGTTCTGCTTCCAGATTGAATGGATGTTTTATTTGCTTCAAGTCTTGCATGTGGCTCTTGCTCTTTTGATGGTGTTTGAGAGAAAATGGCCAATCAGCTCTTCTGTCATCTGCCACCCCTTCGATATAGCATTAGATAAACATGGTTGAGATAGTTTAATATCCTCTCTGCAAAGTTCCTCCTATATTGTATGAAAGCAGGCAAGTTTCTCAGGAATGACAACTCAATGACCAACATCACCATGACAATCTGTTGTCACGCAAGTATTGCATCTCACTAAGAAGTGAATTAAGCAACTGATGGAACCAATTAACAGCCTTAAAATGTAAGAACTGGCATATAAACTGCTGCCTGACAAAAGCAGCATTGCACCATTTTTGGAAGAGCAGAACTTCTTCCCTCTCCCTGCTAGTTCCACTTTATAGAAACCTAAAGAAAGACTGGTAATACCACTAGAGAAATAAGGGATCCATCTACTAAATTTATTTCCAGAATTATTCTTAACATCATCTCCACAAATCACTCAGAGTCCAAACCCATACATGAAACTAGGATCAGGAGCAGTGCCTGTCCTGGGCACTGCACATCTTGAGTGGACGCTCAGTCGAGTCTCTTCCCTCACAAGCTAATCCAAAATAACAGTGTTTCAAAGGGCCTGGGGGAAGAATCCCTTTTCAGATAATTAATACAAAGTGTTCAAAAAAAAAAAAATCCCTTCTCTTTACAAATGCCATCCCATCCCCCTCCAGAAAGCATTACTCTGACATCTGCTACTGCTGCTACACTCTGCCTGTTATTATTTGTCTTAGAGCCTCTGCCCATTCTTTTGCTTCTACAGCTGCTGCTGGTGTTTCCTCTTGGTGTTTCCTGCCTGCCTGGCCTAAATTCCATCTGACACCCTCTTGCCCCTCTGGCTTTCTGCCCGGCTGGTTAAGATGGCATTCAGTTGACTTGCAGTGCTCCTTTCTGCAGTAGGAACATAAAATAATATTTGGGTTTAATTTGCTTTTTGAAGAGCTCTTCAAGATCCTTTCATGAAGGTAATACATTATTTCTTCATACTGACCCTTCAGTTTGATCTTTGATCTGTGGAGAATCCTGTACACGCGTGAGAATTGTCAATGACTGTCAGGACTGCAAAGAAACTTGTGGTAAATTTCCTTCTTCAAAAACCATGTCAGGTTGGGCTGGCAGGGGGAATTGTCGGAGTAGACAATTTTGTCCTTTCTCTTCAAAAGTATCGCAGCCAAAATGACAGCACAATCTTCCTCTGGCAGCATCACTGGTATCTCTGTGGTTTATATCCATTTGCAACTTGAGTGAGAAACAAATTGAAGAGTCCAGGCTATGCGTGCTTGTTCTTTGTCCTTGGTCTATCTCTTAATTTCTTAGGGGCTAGCAGTTGTCTGGACCTTTCCATCAACAAAGACAACAGTTGCAGACTTATAAGGGAGAAGAGGCAAGTAGCTGAAAATGCATTGTTATTCCCCTTTGTCACCCTACATTTGTCAAATTTAAGGCATTTCAAAATATAGTACTCAGTTTAATCACAATATGGATGACATGGACAAGATCTTTGGGTTTTTAGAACTGACAGGTGAGCAATGGACTGCTCAAAGGTGAGGCACATTCATATGTGTTCAGAGCTCATGGCAAAAACTTACCTCCATTCTGCTGCTCACTAAGTTTTTCCAGCATTATTAGATTACCTAGGAGAGCATTCTTGCCTTCTGTACTAGAACTGGTCTCTGCCAACTGGCTGTAGGTGGGGAACCTACTGAGCTAGACTATTTGGGAATTACAACTTTTTCTTTCCTGTTCTGAAACTGCCACCTGTTGAAACTGCCACCTGTATTTTATTCACGGAGAAAATAGCCTTCTAATATAATATTATATTTTCAATTGCAAAATAGCATTTATCACATCTATTTGTTTTAATTTGGAACCAAAATAAATCCTGGAGGAAGAATTAACCTAACTACACATCAAGCAGTATGATGTTAGCTCATGCACAGAAAACAATAGCTTTCTAAAATGGGGTGAAGCACTACATTCATGATTTGATGCTCCCCACTTGTCTGTCGTCTAGATGCTGAGTATCTGTTTGCACTGGATCGTTAAAGATGATATCTTCTGAAACAGATAAAGCCATGCAGTCTATTAAACTTTTTAATAAAGATGAAAGCATTTCCTCTGCAGCACACCAGGACCACTAGTACAGTACAGTAAGTGTGATTCCAAACGTGAAGAGTGATATTCTGGTTGATGCATGGAGTCACAGAACTACGTTCCACAACTTTGTGGCCAAGGACGTATCTCCCAAACTAAAAACTGAAGACTCAAAAATCATAGGGAAATACCTGTGAATGAAAAGGAAATGAGCTGTTACCTCATTCCTTTCGCCTGAACTGCCAAAACTACTTAGCTGTGTTGGAGGAGCTGAATGCAAGAAAAGAGAGGGATTTGAAATGTGCAAATACCAGATTCTATAAGGCAACTATTTCCAGGTGGAGGGAACAGTCTGTTCAGAGACACAAGGTTTCTTTCATGTACCTGGCCTTGAATGACTATTCCTTAATATTTTGATTTTATCCTGCCCACACCACAGTTAAGCAGTACTTAAAACGTTCTTAAGACTAAGAAAGTAATGAAAGAGAAAAATAAATTTGAATTTAAGGGGCAAAAATTTGTTGTACCTTCCAAAACATAATCAATATGTAATTTTGGGTCAATACAATGTACTGGAGAAGAGAAGGGGAAAAAAAAAAAAAAAAAAAAAAAAAGCTAGACATTAAGAGGACCAGGACTGCTAAATGCTGTCTTGTCGCACAGTGCATATTCCTTAAATCCACATCTGCCATAATGAGATTTCTAACACTATATAAGAAAAACATATTGCAATGAAAATATCTTAGGTTTTAGGAACGTTGACTAAAAACCTGAAAACGTATTGTTTGATAATAGTGCACTGCAATCCTAGAGAGATGCTTCTGGTGAATTTTCACCAAAGCATTTCTTGGTGACTTTCCTACTCCTTCATTTAAAGTGCTCTTGAGCAGCGTTATAAGCATCAGAAGTAGATGCTACACAGAAACTATTTTGTCTATTCCAAATAAGTAAGAACAAGTATAAGAGGGGTTAATCTGAACTTTTGGTTCATTCTTAGCTGGTGTCTTGGGAGAAGGCTTGACGATCTTAACTTGACACCTGTATATATATTTATTTTTATTGGAACATAGAATTACATTGGATTTTAAGTGATTCCGTTTAGTTTGTAAAATGATATGTTGTTTACATTGATTCTTCTGGTTTATTTTCAAAATGTTGTTACAGTGAGTTCTTAAATATTTTAATTAGCAGCACATTAAAAAATACTGTTTTCAAGGAATTAAGTCATTTAGAACTAGTTAATGCCCTTCTGTATCACTTTAACCTGAATCTAGGCTGCTAATCCCATTGAATAACAAAAATAATGAATTTACCTCCCTCGTTGTGCACTCAGAAAGATGCTCTCTAGTAGAGTGGACCTTGAATGTCAGTCAAAAAAGGAAAATCTAACTTCTAATAAATTCCTAAAATGTAAATTAACTCTGCTAAAGTGTCAATCATGTAGACAAGTGGAATATCAGAAATTCCTCTGATTTCTGTTCCTTATAACATCTCTGGTGATGTCCAATAACATACTCTAAGAAAGTCCCTGGCATAGTATTAAAAAAAAAAAAAGGCTTTTTTTTCCCCCATATTTCTAAAAACATTCAGCTTTCTTAATATTGTTGCATGGAATTTAACATGATTTTTAAAAACTAAAAAATGTCTCCAAACAATCCCCAAAGCCTCAGCTCTTTTTTCATTGTTTTTATTTAACATATTATGTCAGATTTTTGAGATCCCAAAAGCATGTCGGCATATAAAAATGCATAATTTACAGCACTGTCTGCAGGTGTGGCCACTCAGAAATCTCTTTCAGAAAGCTGGGCACAATTTGTACACAGAGCTGGGCTTCTGTCTGACCACATCATACTCTGCCTTCTGGGTAGAGGTCCTTCTTCTTCCATTTTCTCTTCTCCATGGCTTTCCCCTCATTGTCCTTGAGCTCAGTGCAGGTTTTGCCTCTCCATCCAAATCTGTTCTGAGCTGCACCCACACCTGTATAATTGCCTGGCTTGCTCCTTTCTTGGCCCCACAGTTGCTGGATTCTCTTTTTCAAGTTAGTCCTTTTATACGCTGAACATCTACGATGTGGTGACTAATGACTGCAGTCCTTCTTCGTGTTTGATCTCTAAGCTGAAACCAAGCTGTGATACTGATTGAAATCCTCCTCTCTGCCTCATCCTCCATTCTTAGCAAAGTGAACCTGTGGTGTCAACACAGGGTTTCTAACAGAAATGTTTGAAAGAAGGAATGATCGTGAACAAATGAGAGCATCTTCTGTTGCCTGTACTGCTCTCTGGCCTCTTCCCACCCTCCTCCCTTTGCACAGAGAGGGATAGTCCCACGCCTGTGGGTTACAAATTGCTCCCTGGCACAGCCACTGTCTCCTTCTCCTGGCACTGCTGAGAGCCAGGTGACTGGTATTCGGCATCAGATGCCTAAAACCTGTTGGTCTTTCACATCACCTAGATCTGCTGAAGGCTTGTTCCCTGTTTCAGCTGCTTGCTGATTCTTCCTCTGTGGTCCCAGTGGAAATGCAGTTTTCCCACCCAGAGTCTCCCAGATTAGGAAGCACAGACTCAAAGCTCCCAACTTCAAATAGCTCCACTATTTCCTGCTGCAATTCAAAACTGCCCTTCTTGTTTGTAAGGCCTCTCCCCAGGATTTCTTGAGCTAACTCCAGCCTCACTAAACAACCTCCTCTCTTTGCTCTCCTCTGTTCAGCTAAAGTGGCCTTCTCTCTGACCCTGTTGCTTCTGCCACCTGGAGCAGCCTTCCTGTGTCTTGCTGCCTTTCTGACTCACCACCTTCTTTTCAAATGCCATGTGAAAGCCTATAGTTTCAACCTTGCCTTGTAACAACCTGGAGCAGCTTAAGGAAAACAACCTCTGGCTGTTATCCAAAGAGGGTTCAATAATTATTTCTCTAACCCTCCTAAAATAAAAAGGTTGGCCACCAAAAACAAACAAAAGGAGGACCCCACACACATCATTGGCTATTTTTGATCGGAAAAGTGAAAATTAAATAAGACCTTAACAAATTACTCTGCTGTGTGGCAAATAGAAAAGTACAAAAATACAAAGTCTGTCCAAGAAATAAAACACTGACTTGTACATTGTTGCTTTTTTTCCCTAAGGTTCCTATAAACTCCAGTTTCTTGACAACCAAGTTGAGCATAAGTGTGTGTCAGGGGGTAGAGAGATAATTCTTCAGGTGGAAATTAAGTTAAATATCCACCAACAGTAGGATGGTTGGAAGGACTGACTTGATGTCAGTTTACAGTTCTGCACTGCTAAAATGTAATGCATGCATTGCTTTAAACCTGCTGCCCCATGGTAGTGAAGCTCTCCCCTGGGGCATCACCGCGTGGCATGGACACTCTGCAATTTAGTTCCTAAGGTAAAGTGTTTTCCTTGTGGTCCTCTCTGACTGCAGCTGTAGCAGGGCCGGGACAGGGTAGCACTGGACAGGCTTCAGGCTTCAGCACAGTTGCAGCCAGTTCTGCTAAAGCAAACGTGGCAGGCAAAGAGCATTTGAGAACCGTTTTCTAGCAAAGCCTGTGTTAACGCCCTTGGGGCAGGAGGGAGAGAACTGCTTTCCTGAAACATACCCTGCAGAACACACATTCCTCCTCAGTGCTCATGTCCAGCATCATTTTTACTGACTGCTTGCTGTTTTCCTTTCTTTCCAATGGGCCTACTTTCCCTGTAACTTCATATGTTTTTCTAACTGCTGCTTGTTGCTTTGCTCATGAATGCTCATCCTTAACCAGCCTCGAGCACCTTCTTTCTGTGTGCTTGGGGAAGGCAACTCCCTGCTTCTAATTAGCAACACAAGTTGGCTGCAGAAGCCTCTTTCTAACTAGAAACACCTCTGATGCTTATTATTTGTATTTGGTGCCTACTGTCCCCAGTCAAGCTCAAGAGATCGCTGTGCTCAGAGCTAGATGTACAGATCTTGTCTTCATTAGGAAAAAGATGGTTTAGATGTCTCACTGAAGTGTTCCAAAAGACTTGAGCTTAACACAAATCAGTTGCTGTTTTACTAAAGGGGATTGTTAACTTTGAATAGCTGAAAGAGATTAAAGCAGCTGCTGTCTTTGGTAAGACTGCAGCACTGGTTAGAATCAGGAAATAATTGTTATGTGGCCTAGCCAGAAACTGCCTGACAGTGACTCTGTAGGCAAGTCATGTAGGCTCTTGTTTCCATTAGTAAGGCCAGTAGAGACTTATTTTTCATGCGTGCAGAGCTGCTTCGTGTGAGCACACCAAGGTAAGCTTACTTCGTCTGATAAACGTTGTGTAAGCAAGTAAACTGGTAAAATAGGACTTGTAATTTTGAGCAAGATCCTTATTTTTCCAAGCCTAATTCTTTGCTGCTATTCACCCTGCGTGAGCGCACAATGGATAGGAAATTCTTTCATGACTGTTGACACAGCCACGACTTCGCCCTTAGGCCAGCTGGCAGAGCTGCTGCCGGCCTGCTCTGGGCGCCCTTCGGCCCCCACCATGACCTGCAGCTTGGGGCACATCTCTATCACTGGCTCAAGCCCGGACCAGTGCTGCAAAATTTGACTATTGTTCACATTTCGTATTTGATAGTTATTTGATTTGATATTACTTTGCTAGTAATTTCTCACGTAAGCAGGAACATCATCTCATTTCAAATGGAAACTTTCACTTACTGGACTTTTTTAATGAGTGCAACTGCAAAGGGAGAGGAGAAAGGTGTCGTCAGGTAGATCTGAGCATTAAAATGAGGTGTGTGCTTTGCCCATGGTAATCAAGTTATTTTTCTGCAATGGGCTAGCCAGGTTTATCCAGGTGGTTTATTTCACTAACTGTCCTTTAAAATATGGCACTTCTCCTGTTATCTTTTATTACTGTGAGCTTTGCAGCCATTGATGTGGGCAGTTGTTCCTCTGCCATTGTATCATGTATGTTATCAGCTGTAATATATGCTAACCCAGCTTCCTGATCAGCCTTAACATTTCTTTAATGTTTTCTTTAGATAGTTCAATTATTCATTCTCTGAATCAGAATTAGCTCGTATACACTGCCATTATATTCAAATACATCATCAGCGTCTCTGTGGGTAAGTGCTACTTTGGTTGCAATTACTGCCTTGCAAGCCTGAGGCAAGAGTGAAGTTATTGCTTAAATAATATATGAAATGAAGGAGACCATTTGCCTTGTTTTGTTAAGAATCCTGGAGCGATCACTTGCATAAAACCACCGAAGGCTCATACAAATGACACCTGTATAAGCTCCAGGGAGAATGCTCCTCTCAGTCCATGCTAGAAACCCCAGCTGGAGAGTCATTAGTGAAGTAGCAGAATCCCAGAAAACTTCCCTCCTAAACCTCTAGGCAGAGGCGCAGCGATAGCTGAAGCAGCTAAGAAGTATCACTCATCACTGCTCCAAAATCGAAGGGCAGTGGGGGGGTTAAGAGGCTCTTGGAAACTTTTGAAATCACTGTTTTCATGCTTTAAGGGTTATATTTAGCCTTCATTAAATGTTCAAGTAAGTGAATATTTTGGTGTATTTAGTGGGGTTCAGGTTGCAGTACAGACCACCACTCATTACTGCTTCAATCTTGGCACTTGTGGAAAATGTTTACTAAGTTTAGACACTATTTAATATCTTCCTTTTAAGTCTGTTATCTTGAAACAAGGGATAAAAAAGCAAACTTTAAAAGAAAGCTGTATTTACATCTGATATAAAACAAAACTGTGTTAATATTAGCATTTCAGAATACCTAGGAGCTCATAACCTTCTATTTTGATAGATAGATTGGACACCGTGGGCTGGGAAAATTCCCAGGGCATTACTGGATTCCTGGCATGGCTGGCATGCATGCAGCAGCTACCTGCAGGATGGGCCTGAAAAGCAGCCAGCGCCACGCAGCACACAGATCACGGCGTTTCTCTCGAGAGGGAACTTGGAGTGGGGTTGTTGGCAGTGGGATCCCTCAGGGGGCTTGTCCTAGGGTAAAAGCTGAACCCTACGGTGCTGGTCAGGATTTCAGAAAGGCTTTCTTTCAGATCTCTACCTGCTGTAGTAGGATTTGATGGTGTGAGCTTGCAAACTGGGAGATGTGAAACAAGTACCGGTATTCTTATAAACTAGCTAAACCAGCTCCTGAATAGCTTGCCTGGTGTTTTCGTAGTGCAAGAGATTGAGAGCTGCGGAGCTATGTATTTTACAAGGAAATGACAAAGCCATGATTCCTGCCCTGAGGCAGCTGCAATCCAAGAAGCCGGTCCTGTGATCAGGCTGTTGCAAACAAGCCACAAGCCCTCGGAGGGCTCTGCACTAGTACCGTGCCCTGCGAGCACGCTCTCCTTTTTGAGACCGGGTGCCAGAGCCAGATTTCTCGAGGTATTTGGTGCTATATTGCCACAGGCTGAGAAGACTACACGCCACTAGACCCTAGCTGGGAGTTTCTGAAAATAAACCCTGAACTCTTGATTCAGAAGTAACATAATCCGCTCTGCAAAGTTTCCTTTTAGCCGGTTAGAGCTGTGATCTGCCCTCTGCACGCACAATGGCTGGATTGGCTTCAGCAGGAGCCAGCACGCTCTGGCAAAGATACCGTGCTGGAAACAGCATTCTGCTCATTCTTCCGAGTATTCGCATTAGTGATATTTTCCAAGGTGAAGACAGTCTGTACTAATAGAGAGGGAAAATATCAGGAGAGGTTTTTTTGGCCTGTGTTTTTTTTTTAGGAAGTCAGACTACATGATACATGATCACCTGATGATCTATGAAAATTAAATAAAGTGCTAGGGCTAGTGGAGCTGACTGTCATGTATTTATTGGACTATAATAGTGTGCTTATAACAAGCTCTAGTATATACATGTACGTACATGCTGCATTTCAGTACTGTTATCCTCCCTGATACTCAAGTCTCCCATTCTACCATGCGTCTGATTAGGGTCTGGTCTCTGTAATGTTCCCGTACTCCCCATTAATTACATGGGTGAAGTCTGAGGAGCTTCCCTGGAGCAGCCTGGGAGTGTCACGTTCAGCTTTTGTGTGAGTGCTGGCAGGCGCTGGGAGCCACTGGCTGCGGAGCCATCCGGAGTGCAGCGATGTGTGGATGTAAGACACATGGCAGGGAGGAGACACAGCAATGCTGTAGAGCGAGGCATGAGGGCGAACCTCCGTAAGCAAGCCTGTGTTCATAACACAGAGCTCTGCTAGGGGCAGAGAGAATAGGATTTCACCATTTTTTGAGATCCTGATTTGCCCCTACAGCTGCTTAATTTTCCACTCATAAGAATGGAAATCACATCCAATAAACTAAATCATTCCCTGTATAGACACAATGTTCTGTCTGGCTTCATCTTCAGTACCTCTTCTGCACTTCTAGAAGCAAGATGTTTGTGATTTCTTCCTTGATTATGAGCAGTGTTATAAACTATAGTTGGGTAATTCATTTCAGCTTACTATCATTATTCACCAAAAATGCAAGTTTCAAAACACTTTATCAAGAATAAATCTTCTAATGAATAATGAATAATGAATAATGTGACAGAATTAAAAAACAAACAACAACAACAAAAAACTCACTTTACATATTTAAGTAAAGTTTATTTTTTTTATTGGAAAATAAATTTTTATTTTAACTCCAAAATTTCAGTTTAGATACCTTAGAGGGTGACAAAGGCTACAAAAATTAACCAACACTTCATTTGGGGTCAGAAGAAAAAGGATTTATTTAATATGCTAAAAAGTTCTGCAAAACAGGAATTCATTTCCATGAGAGCTTAATTTTTTTTTTTTATTTATTTATATATATATATTTTTAAAACTACTTTGCAACTTTTTGTTTAGTGAACAAAATTTCTTTTGTTCTAGCCATCAGTCTCTGGAGCTAGTGAGGTGATAAATCTTCATTTTGCTTCTGTTCAAATAATGAAGACACTTACTACATATTTCATTTCCTCGTCATACAGCAGCTCCACTTTTACCTATTCTACTTCAGGACTCATAAGACTGGAGGCAATTAATTCTAATGTAATTATTTGTTAGTGACTGGAGATGACTAATAATTGCACAGAGTAACAGGTAAA